CACAGAGGAAAAAGCTCTCTCCCTTGTGCTTACAAGGCGAGCTTGTGACACTGGCAGGGGCAAAAGAAGGGCCTCCCCAGAAGATCAGAGGGCCCGGGTGGGTTCATGGAGGGAGATACGGTCACAAAGGTTTAGGGCTTTATAGGTGATAACCTGCACCTTGAATTGGGTCCGGAAAATAAACGGCAGCCAGTGGAGCTCCTTAAACAGGGGGGTAGACTGCTCCCTATAACTAGCCCCAGTTATTAATCTGGCTGCCGAATGTTGAACAAGTTGTAGTTTCCGGGCTGTCTTCAAGGGTAGCCCCACGTAAAGTGCATTACAGTAGTCCAGTCTGGAGTTAACTAAGGCATGGACCACCATGGTCAATAGACCTGCAACATTTTGTACTGTAGATTCTACCCCATGCTTTTTTGATAGGAAAATGAGAGGCAATGTCAAAATTACTATGCAATACACATTACAATAGGTGCCAGATTGGGAAGGATAGTCTGTTTAGAAGGCTATCATAGTCTATGAGAGGGGGAACCTGAAGCCATTTTCACCCAAGTGATGGACTGCACTTACCAGTTTTCCGTTGAATTTGCAAGTAGATATAGTTGTAGGGATTCTTGTTGGAAACTAGGGGGTGACTTTTTCTATTGATCTATGGCTTCTAGAAGAGAAGTGTCTGGCCTTTTACTTTTTTCTGACTAATTTTCCATCCCAAACTTTTGTGCAAGGGGTTTTAAGGGCTACAGAAAGGGGTGAGCTATAAACTACATTTTTCCCCGCTTTCACCATAGTCAGTAGTACCAAGAGCCACCAGGAGATCAAAGACAGGTCCACATTTCCACTGTCCTTTGAGAGACTCTAATGATTGATCAGGATGGTTGCTGTCCAAAAACAAGGTCTACTTGTTTTATCAAATTTGAAGTTAGCTAACCATCACCCACTTGCTGGTCTTGAATCGGAAAATAATTTGTATTCAAAGAAGTTATCCAAACCTAGAGATAGGGTCGAGCTCAACCTTCACACAAACTAACAAAATGTCCAACTAAAAAAAACCACATTAAAAAAGAAAAAAACTTGTGATAGGGTTGCCTGAGGTTGGAAATGACTTGAAGGCACAGAACAATCACATCTCAATTGAACAGCTAAATAACCTAAAGGCACCAGGTCATATCTGGTCTTGGAAACTAAGGAGAGTCAGCTCTGGTTGGTTTTTGGATGGGAGAACCCAACAAATACCAAATGCTGTAGGCTCTATTTTAGAGGGGGGGGGGAACTGTCAAAAACCATCTCTTGAGTATTCCTAGCCTATGAAAACTCTTGAGAAATGGATGGGGTCATTATTAAGACACAGGATCCATCTACATTGTGGAATTAATGCAGTTTGATGCCATGTTTATTGCTATGGCTGTGGAATCATGGAAGTGGTGGTTTGGTGGGAAACCAGCACTCTCCAACAGAGAAGGCTGAAGTCTTTGTAAAACTATAATCCCCACAATTCCATAGCATTGAAATGCATGACATATGTTAATTTCACAGTGTAGATGTATTCTAGCCCCTTTTACACTGCCATATAATCCAGATTATTTAATTGGATAATCCACATGATCTGCTTTGAACTGGATTATATGAGTATTTACTTCTTTACTTACTTACAGTATTTCTATTCTGACCATCTCACCCTGCAGGAGACTCAGGGTGGATTACACTGTACATATACATGGCAAACATTCAATGTCATAGACCACAACATATATAGACAGAGGCTAATTAACTTTCCAGCTTTCATGAGGGCATTCTGGCCACCAGGGGAGCTATCACTTCACTGACCATTTGTGACACTGATGGAGTACTTCCTTTGATTCTATGATTCTTTTCATAGAATCATAGAATCAAAGAGCTGGAAGCGACCTCATGGGCCATCCAGTCCAACCCCCTGCCAAGAAGCAGGAATATTGCATTCAAATCACCCCTGACAGATGGCCATCCAGCCTCTGTTTAAAAGCTTCCAAAGAAGGAGCCTCCACCACACTCTGGGCAGAGAGTTCCACTGCTGAACGGCTCTCACACTCAGGAAGTTCTTCCTCATGTTCAGATGGAATCTCCTTCCTCGTAGTTTGAACCCATTGTTCCTTGTCCTAATCTCCATGGAAGCAGTAAACAAGCTTGCTCCCTCCTCTCTATGACTTCCTCTCACATATTTATACATGGCTATCATATCTCCTCTCATCCTTTTGCTAGCTTGCTGGAGATTTTATGGCATTGTAAATTAGTTAAATAACCGGTACCTAAATTTCCTACTTGACATTTTTTTTTGTCGTGTCAGGAGCGACTTGAGAAACTGCAAGTTGCTTCTAGTGTGAGAGAATTGGCCGTCTGCAAGGATGTTGCCCAGGGGACGCCCAGATGTTTTATCATCCTTGTGAGAGGCTTCTCTCATATCCCCACATGGGGAGCTGGAGCTGATAGAGGGAGCTCATCCACACTCTCCCTGGATTCGAACCTCTGTCAATCTTCAGTCCTGCCGACACAAGAGTTTAACCCAGTGCGCCACTGGGGCCTCCTCCCTGGTAACTGTAATTAATTGTTAAGGTTGTTTCAGGGAGTATCTGAGAACAGCTTCTGGTAATTACACTTATCTCAAAGGGCCCCTTCACATGCCACAGTTATAGTACTACAAACCGCCTTGCGTTGCCGATAGGCTGAGAAAAGCGGTATACAAATACAGTAAATAAATAAATACGATCCCACTCCAGCAGTTGTGGTTCTAGATTATGGACTCCTAGGATTGGCAATTCAAGGAAAAGCCTCTATAATTCTCAGCCAAAGGGTTTATAGAATGC